ATTTCAAGTTGATTCATCAGCGTTTATGACAGCTATATGCTATAGTGATCCAATCTGAGCAATATACTAGCAAATAGTGGCTGTGGAGATATCTTGAGAAATAAAAAATTTTCTATACAAGCACCTGATTCCGATCGTTCAGTTTGTATGTCAGCTTTTTGACATAGTGGCCCGAGCAGCTTTTTGGGCTGCAAAATTTCAAAATTAAATTAAACTGAGTGACTAGGCGGGCATAGCTAAATCGGTTTAGCTCGTCCCTCTGATAACTTATGTCTCCTTTACAGAGTCTCCGATGTTTCCTTATAGGTGTTGTAAACATTGTGACAAATTTTGTACACCCTCTTTAGTGCTTTTAAAGAGCGGTGTGCGAGTCGAGTAGAAAATCCTTCGGCTGTCTGTTGTGATTGCAGCTTCTCGAGCCGAACCTTTCTTGTATTCTTTTCTGCACTGTTGCGGTTGCGCATCGTGCCTGCAACAAGATAGTGGTCTAACCCAATTATAGGATCTCGAAGCGTACGCACATCGAAAGTATAGTAAACTTGTCTTCCATCTATCACAAAATGATCGATCTGGTTAGTGGCTTTTCCATCCGGAGACAGCCGGGGGCTTGATGAATTCTCCCATACTGAAATCTAGTATTACAGGGCCCGGCGAAGTCGATCAGCTTCAACCCATTTTGGGATGTTTCATCATGGAGGCTGAATTTATCGACCGTAGAGCCGAAAATACCTTCATTGCCCACCTTGGCGTTAAAGTCGCCAACCCCCCAAGGCATCTTTGGTCACATCGTCCTTCTCTTTCGTCGGGGTGTTGACGCTAATCAACGAAATGTTGAAAAACTTCGCTTTGCTGCGGATTGTGACTAGACATTCTTGCAACGCGGTAAATGTCAGGCTCTCACCTATCACGAATTCCACACAGAATTTGCACTCTTTTATATGGCAACTGTAGTAAATGCCACAAGAACGTAGTCGCCTAATTCCTTGCCGTGACCAGCGCATTTCTTGGACGGTGGTAATGTCAGCCTTCATAATTCTAACCAGGACGTCAATCAGCTCTACAGCGGCACCTTCCCAATTAAGGTGCCGCATATTCCAGGTACATGCTTTAAATCGTAATCTTTAAGTCGTTTACCATGATCGTCATAAAAAGTGGGTCTCCCATCCGAGGCTTGTTTTTTTTTTTCATTTTTACGTGGCGGGTTCCAAACCCAGCCTACAACCCTGTGGAAGAGATTATTCGCCTTCTCACTTTAGCTCGACTTCAAACGGATACTCTTTCGCTATCCAGAAGATACTTGCTCTAAGATCAAAAGCCGTGAGCTGCTTGAGGCTCAGTGACTCCTTATCGGACATTATAAGCTACAAATCTTTCAACAGTTGAAAGGCGAACTGTGTTGAAGACGTGAACTATTTATTCTGAGTCAAAAGGACATTGCGATGAAATCAGTAAAGATGGTTCTCTTTTGCATGTATCTTCAAGCAGAAAAAGTATGAGCTAACGAAAATTTTGGCTAAAAGGTGAATAGAACAGTGCTTTTCTTGGTTATTCTAAGGTGTTTTCTGGATTCCAAATGAATACTTTATTCACTAATTATTGACGTTTGCGTTAAAATTAAAGCAAATTTTATGGCATTGTTTCAGTATGAAGCGTTTTAAATTGTACACTGTACTGGTTTTCTAAAATAACTATAAACGATTTCGATTTCGAGCTAGTAGAAACTCCAATTTTGCCAATACATTCGCTTAAATTATTATCACTAACTTAGACTATTATTTTAATATTGAAAAATGTATCTAAATATTTGTTCACCCTCGTCTTAATTCACCGATTAAACATCTATTATTTTTAACCTGTCATTTTTTCCATCATCTAAATCGCATATTTTATTCTCATTCATTTATGAGTTTATTCAAAAATACAAGTACAAAAAAGCTTAGCGGCACATATATATTATATAAACACATACAGTGACCCAGACACACCCAGCCGCAAACAGTCACTTACATTCATGCCCACATTTTCACATAAACTCACACACAGTCACTTATATTCATTCACATCACCACGGACATTTGCACAGTTCCGCCGGTAAGGAAATGAAAACGTTCGCAGATTAGAGCAGCTGTTGAAAATTGAATATATTTTCGCATATTAATTTCTGCGCCGGTCTCGCTGCTACACCAACAATCGTTGGCAATCGTTAGTATTTGAAAGAATTTGCATAAATAAATGAATACTAAAAATATGCATTTCGTAAATAAATATGTTTTAGTGAATTGAAATATAAAATACTAAATGACTTTCGAATTTCAGTCAGAATTTCAGTCAGTAATTTCAGTGGTTTGAGGGCTTAGTAAGCTGAAAAAATTGCTCTTGAAGCGTAAAATTACAAAGTAATGGAAATCAGGGATTTTGGTTAGATTTTCGAGATTTTTTTAAAAACTTTGAAGTACTGAATATTTTGAAATCAGTAATGCTTTTTTATTTAGTTGAAATTCAATGAAATATAATTCATAGTAGCAGCCGTAGCATCGGTCAAGAGCTGGGCATGAGTCATCAAACCGTTATAAAAAAAATAAAAATACCGCAAGACTTTTTTGACAACCGAATATATCTTACTTCCTGAGATAATTGCACCGTACGTAATATTTCTCAAAAATAAAAATATCTTCTAAAAATTCGAGGCGAAAATTCGTTAGATCAACACTCATGTATCGATATTGCGACTGTAAACCGTTTTCCGAAGCCATGTTGAAAGTTATACGGGAGTTGCTCTTTTCGATACATTTTCATAAATATTTGCAAGACTTAGTTTGGTGTGAAAAGGTAAGTATTAGACAGAGAAAGAGTGTGAAAGAGAAGAAGAATCTTATATTCCAAGGTCTTCTAATCAGTAACTATGTGAAAAAAAAAAATATTTAGAAGGAATCCTCTATCCTTTGAATACGATGCCCAAAATATTACATAAATATTCAGAAAAGTAGAAGCAGCTCGGCCTTTTTGAGAGCGAACAGATACTACAACTGCAGACAAGACTGCTACTTGATGTAAAAGTTTTCCGAATTTCATTAAACTATTCATTAGTCGTATGTGATTTATTATAATTTTTGAGTTTTTACATAGGTTGCCTTCAGATTTCGAGATTTGGCAATCCTAATGTTGCAACCTGCAAACTCAGAACTTAATCGTAAATTTTGAGATTTTTGGTACTATGCATACTTAGAACTTTTTAGCATACGACCAATACTTAGGTTGTTAACGGTAACTTGAAATATTCCTCTCAGCCAAAAAATGGCATTAAAACGTGAACGTTTTCGTGCGATTATGTTTTATAACTTTCGACGTGGGTTAACTCAGCAACAAAACAACGATGAACTTAGTTTAGTTTTGGGTGAAAAAGCAGCAGTGTTTATTGAAGGCATGGTGAATCAGTCAAGGCCTTACATCACTCCAAGACGAATTTCTTGAAAGTCGTTCCAAATCAGTTGTTATTCCGAAAACTATTGTTGCTGTGCTCTAACTGATTTTGCAAGATCGTCATGTGATCTATCGTGAGATTGCGACCACTATGAGCATTCGTGGAAGTAGCATACTTGTACAAACAACATTGCATTAACTTTTGACTGTAAAAAAAATTGTTCATGTTGGATCTCACACAATTTGTCAAAAGGCTCATGCCTATTGATCGAGAGAAGTGTTAACAAAATACGATAGCATGAAATTGTGATGGATGATCGTGTTTCAAGATGGGCCGAATCCAAGAAAAGTTGTTTGTGGACGAAATATTTTCCTGCAAATGGTTGCCTGCTTTTTTTTTTAGAATGACTGGACTTGTCGCAACCATACCACTAGAAAAATACAGAACAGTAAATTGAGTGGTACACAACCATTCGTTTGCCAGTTGTCTTTTAAGAAATTAGGAAACGCAAACGCTGAAAACGAATCACTCTTCAACACGATAATGCGCGCTCTTAAATATCGACTGAAATAATTGCCTTTTTGCGCACTTGAAACATCGATTTGATGAACCATCCATCGTGTGATTCTGACTTGGCACCGATTGACTTCTTTTTATCCCCGTACAAAAAAAAATTAACCGAAAGTTCAACGTTTTTCTACACCTGAGGAGGCGGTTGATGCATTCAGAACAAATGTTTTGGAGATACCTCAAACAGAGTGGCAAAATTGCTACGCCAATTGGTTCAAAGGCATGCAAAAGTATACAGATCTTAATGGAGAATATTTTGAAAAATAATAAAGCCTTTTTGATGGTTGAAATTTTTTTGTTTTCTATACTGAAATATAAAAGGAAACATAAATACTAACGATGAGAGAATAATAAGACCCATAACAGTCGAGTCTACGTAAACGGAACAGACCTGGATTTTCGGCCAGGGACTGACAACTCGGCAGAATTCTGCCGGTACAACAAAAACAGAGGCTAATAACACTAGCCAACATAGATTTTACGACAAACATCTGCTTTTTGCTAATTTTGGATTGCAAATATTAGAAAAAATCTTCTAATACGTAGGATTTTTTGCCTTGCAGTCGAGAGGTGTCGGAGTCAAATTACCACTATATACTAATAGCTATAAGTGATGGACAATTTTTAAACTCAAACTCATAACAGTAAATCACCTAACCGACCTCTTAGCACATCAGTCACAAATTTTTCATTCATATTTGTTGAGTAGTGTAATAAAAGCGGAATAAAGATAATATTAAACCGATTGCAGTTGGTGAATTCTATCTTTCTTATTAATTGTTTCTGTAGCTACAAGCATACATTCGCTTGAACCTTTGTACTTCTACATGAATACTTGGTTTTCCTAATAAGTTCCGGGAATATGAGTGCAGAGCTGACATCGAGGCACATTAAATAAACACTATATTATACATTAAACTACTAATTGAATAAAACAAATAAGTCTAACATTAATTAGTCCCACTGCAGCATTAGATAACCCACAGTTGCCAATGAAATCCGCACTTACCTGTAGCACAGCAAAAACGACCACAACAATGGTAACAATCGTCAGACAGACGGCCACAGCAACAGCCGTAATTGCAGTCAGCGGTGAGCTCATACGCGAAAAGAAACTGCCTACATTACCGGACGCATCCTCATCCAAAAAGCCACCATACAGACCACCACTGTAAGCGCTGCCGAACTGTTGTTGCTCAGCAGCGGCGGCGATGCGACGCTTGCCCGCCGGCGAGGCATTGATGCAGCCGCCTGCAAAATCAAACAATTGCGATGAGAAACACACGACTGAGCTGCTGCCATTATGCATTAATGAACTCATAACAGTGCATGTTTGTATCATATGCGATCACACACACGATACAATGCACGCTTTGCAAGTGAGTATTTGTTGTTGCATGGACTTACCGGTATCCTTATCACAATGACAGCATGACTGATCCTCCGGTGCCGCATCGGTGGGACAACACGGCACACATTGATTATTCAAACGGTCCAAATGCAATGGGAAAGCGCACGTTTTGCACGAATACTGGCCGGGGCCGGAGCAGGAACGGCACGAGTCATGGCAGGTTTTGCACGTTTGCGTGGGCGAGTCGTAATACTGCGACCCCAGGCACTCCATGCACAGGCCGCCGTCGAGCATGAAATGCAGCGGGCAGGAAGTGCAGGCGAGTGGGCCGGCGCCTGAGTGGCATACAGTTATGAAAAGTGTGCAAAAGAGAAGAAATGAATGCAAAAAAAGATTAAGTAATGTGTGCAGCGGCGGCATAAAAAATTGAAATTCAACAAATCAATTCACTCAGCGCGCGGCACGTGCGACAAGCTGGTGCTAAGCAGCTTTGCAACAATTGCCAATGGGCAATCGCGTACTTACCGTTGCAAGTTTTGCAATAATGATGACACTTCTGACAGCCAAACTCGGATTTGTAGAAACCCTCCGGACACTCCGGGTGACACTCGCCGCCGGCCAGCTGCCAACCTAACGGACACTGAACGCATTGGTCGCGTCGCGGTCCGCTGCAGGTGTGACAGCTGAGGTAACACTTGGCGCAGGTGCCACGATCGCTGTAGTAGCTGTGTGTGTGTGTGTGTATGTGAGTGCAGGAAGAGCGTGTAGTGTATGTGAGTGTGGTGGGGAAGAGAGAAAAAATAAATTTATATAACTTTTAGCACAAGTATTGGCTGAAAATCTTAAATTGCAATATTTTTTAGTTTGCGCTGCGCGGGAAGTGCTTGAAGGCAGCAGGCGGCGGCAGCGAAGTTCGGCAGGTGAGCAGCGAAATGAGTAAGAAGTTGGGAAATGTGCAAAAGTTGTCGTTAAGTTTTCTTTACACTCTACCGTTATGTTTTCTAGGTAGTTAGCGTTGTCTTGTTATTGTTGTTGCTGCAGCTGCTTGTTAGCACTTTGACATAGCGGCGCTGCAACTTGCAAACTTTTAATGGTGACGCAATCGTTATGTTTTTATTATTATACACTATTTTTSTTGTTGTTGTTCCAAATTTGAGTTTCTCAGCTTGTTGTATTGTTGATGCTTTTAAATATTTGAACAGTTCAAAAAGTGCACGGAATCGTTAATCAGCAGCGCTTCCGCCGTATTGCCACTTCTCACGGCAAATAAAAACAGTTATGAAATAAATGTGAAAAAAGCAAGGAAAAAACACATTAACAATTCAACAACTTGCGTTGCTGGAAAACATAAAGTTTTAACGTCGCACTTCCGAAGTTACTATAAATTGTTAAACACCGTTTGGATGAGACAAACGCGGCGCACAAGCAATCTCAAAGCTTGTCAGCGCCATCGACGAAAAGCAATAATCGCAACAAACTTCGGCGCCTTTATAATATCAAAGTCAAGCGGAAAATTGCTTTCCCACTCATTTCCTACAACCGCCTACCTACCAAGCCGCACTAACCCTCCGCCACAGCAGCTACAATGTGGAGCGCCCTTTAATGAGCGCTCCGACAAATCCCATTAATTACCCATCAGCACAGGTTGTGCGACACTCGCCGCTCTGCAGCTGCAATCCCTTGGCGCAGGCGGTGCAGTTCATGCGCGACACGCACTGTGTGCAGGTGTGCAAGCACTTGGCGCACACGCCCGCCTCCATGTAGAAGCCGTCGTCACAGCTGCTGACGCAACGACTCGATTGGAGCAGTAGACTTTGCGGACACGAGAGGCAATTCGTTTCGGTGGGTCCATCGCAGGTTTCGCACGTGGAGTGACAGGGATGACAGTGGTTGTTGTCGTAGTACTCGGCTGTGCGTTGTAAAGAGAATGAGGAGAAGAAGCAAAATTATTAAGTTAGTTGATGTTGTTTATATTTAAAAAGATGTTTTTTTTTAAAGAAATATTGAAATACAATATATGTATATATGTAAATGATATTGTCATATTGATCTGTTAATATAATTAATTGAACAGGCAAATTGGTAAAATAATAGTTTCGAAGTATATTATAATTAATGCTATTTATTCAGCTGAAAAGGTGTTGAAGCTACAAAAGATATTCTCAAAATCATCTTAACGTCAACGAAGTTCCAAATAACATTTGTATATGGCTGAAAAGTTTTTCTAACAACTCTATAGCTTTACAAGAGTAAACATTAACTTCGGATGCACCGGAGCTATAATATCCACCACAGGTGCATTTATACTAGCTAATTCTAAAAGCATAACCTACAAATAATTTACATCAAACTGAAAGCATTTTGCAGAGTCTTTCTAGCCACTTTATTTGATAAAGCAGTAATCAAATGAAACTATGGTCACTGAAGAAAGAAAAAAATATATTATATAGCAATTTGGTTTGATTTTGATCTGTCAGCTTTAGCTTTCGAAGATTATAATGTTGCCTTGGATAAAAATGTATGACAAATAGTTTAGAAATCTCATAAAAATAAAATTTAAATATAAGATCTTGATTTCGATAGTTATCTATGGTTCCGTTTGATCAGCAGCTTCTTCGGGAGAAAACAACGTGCGCATTTTCAGATCAATTTCAAATCAATATCGCTAAACTGCGGCACTAGTTGGCAATTTTGCGAAAAAACAAAAAGACAGACAAACATACCTGGTTAAATCGACTAACTCATCACGCTAATATTATAGCTTTATGTACTTTATATAATCTCCGACATTAATATATCCTATGCATGGTCCACAAAATTTATCTATCCCTCTAAGTATGTTAATGTTATATACTCAGATCTACCTGCTAAAAACAGTTTTGGGACTTTTATGTTACTGGACAACTGCTTACGTCATTATTCGGACTATATCTAGAATGTGTTTTAGAAATTTTTGTTTCAATAAATCAAACTGGTTCGCTTCTTTTCGTCTGAGGTGGCTTATTTTAGTTTCACAAAATATTCTTTAGCCTTATGCAAATCGACTGAAGAATAGCCGGGGTATTCCAACCACTTTTGGTGAGATTCCTCGTATTATTTCCATGGTTGTGCTATTTCGTGGATAAATTTTTCATTCACTTCTACTTTTGCTATTCAAATTAATTTTGTCGCTTATGAGTTACTGACCTATATTTTCACTAATATTGGAAAATTAAATAACCAATTTTCGAATTACAAGAACCAGTGTTCTTTTAGGCCAAAATTTAATTCTAACTTTCGCATATTTGAAATATATGTTTCGTATTTTTGTCATAAAAAATTGGTAATGGCTTCCGTCTATTTTCAGTTACCGACTTATGATGGCCCTGCTCAGCTATATGTTTAATGTTGAAATACTGATTACGATACATATCTTTCTATTATAAAATGAGAAACCTTACTGAAGAGAAATGTCAAAAGGGCAGAAAAATTAAAAATCGGCCCGCTGCCGCGCCCACAAACTGGCGAAAACCGAGAACCTATAAAGTGTCATAACTAAGTCATAAATAAGAATATTAAAGCGAAATTTGGCACAAAGGCGTGGCCCCGCCCCTTACTAAGTTTTTTGCACATATCTCGGAAACTACTACAGCTATGTCAAACACACTCTATAGATTCGTTTCCTTCAGGCATTTCCATATACAGTTCAAAAATGGAAGAAATCGGATAATAACCACGCCCACCTCCCATACAAAGCTTATGTTGCAAATCACTAAAACTGCGTTAACTGACTAACAAAAAAAGTTAGAAACACTAAATTTTACGGAAGAAATGGCAGAAGGAGGATGCACCTAAGCTTTTTTTAAATTTAAAATGGGCGTGGCGTCGCCCACTTATGGACCAAAAACCATATCTCAGGAACTACTCGACCGATTTCAATTAAATTCGGTATTTACTATTTTCTTAACACCCTGATGACATATACGAAATATGGGTGAAATCGGTTCACAATCACGCCTTCTTCCAATATAACGCTATTTTGAATTCCACCTGATGCGTTCTCTGTATAATATATACATTAGGAAAAAATTATGATAGCGGAATAAAACTTTACAGAAATACGGTATTTGAGCTAAGGTATCCCTTGTGAAATTGTTGTGATTGGACTATAACTTTTCAAGGTCCCTGATATCGAACACGATGAACTCAGAGCCTAACCTAACCTAAGATATATACCTATACCTAACAGATATTTTCATGTAATTCAGAGGGCATCGTTTTTAGACTCTCGCAATAAAGTTGCTAATAACGGTATATATCGTCAGATATATGGTTACATATACCAAAGGGATCAGGGTGACGAGTAGAGTTGAAATCCGGATGTCTGTCTATCCGTCCGTGCAAGCAGTAACTTGAGTCAAAATTGGCATATCTTGATGAAACTTGTCATGCGAGAGTATAAAATGTTCGGTGACACCCGAACTTAGCCCTTCCTTTGTATAACTCTGAAAACTGTTTGCGGAATTTTGATTACTCTTCAGCAAGAATTGTCGACGCAATCAAATCATAAAATTGAACTAAAACAGAATTTTCGAAGAAAATACTCTGTCAAAATTTAATAAATTTTGTTGTAAAAAATTATGTTTAATAACGCCACTATATCAAAAATCAACACCTTTAAAATTTCAAATTAAACTGTTGGAACGTAAAAGCAATCACTGCTTCTGTGGCAACATAAATGGCGCATGTAAGTAATATCCCGAGAAAATGAGATGAAATTATAATTATGGCAGGTAAAATGAGTTGACGTGTTGGAAAATGAAACAGCAAACGAACTTATAAACAGCAAGAAGTATTTGTTTGCACGCTTACACACGCACACACACACACGCCCGCCAGTAAACATGCTCAAAATCACAGCTGAAGAGCAGAAAGAAAAGAAAAAAAATCTGATCACACAAATGTAATGGTGAAATGGTCAAGCATAATTGCAAATGAGAATGGGAAAATGTAATTTGACGAATGAAATGGATTGGCAGTGCAACAAGAATGAATGGGCGCAATGTAAATGTATGGCAACAAGGCAAGGCAGTGACCGCCTGCTTAAAGTGTGCCCATTGTTGTTGCTGTGCACGCAATTTTATGGCAATCATAAAGGCGAATTGCCACAACGGCCTGTACGAAGCAATGGCCCATCTTACGGCCGCCCACACGCAACGCTTACCTCCACATACATGGGTGTGTGTGTGTGTGTATGCGCTGTGCGAATCTGCATACGAAACTCATTTAAATCAGACGACTCTGCGCAAATTTAACGTGCTATTAATTTCGTTCTGTATGCAGTGCAAAGAAGTTGGTCACAGATGCAAATTGTTGTCGGGAAAACGGTAATTGCCCCGTTTTTTATGTTGCAACGGCGTTTTAATGGGTTCTTTACATGAGTGACACATTCCTTTTTTACACGGTTCGCATTCAATATGCCTTTGGGCTTAAGAAATTTAAAATGATTTAAATATTATCGAAATTATACGAAGTTCACAGAGATTTCGAAAGGAATATACTCCTTAATATTTAAATTTTTGACGAGATTGCGTCAATTTTTCTTTTGAAAATAACTGTTTCAAATAAAATTTTATGGTTTTTTATAATTAAAAAAAAAATGTGTTCACATTATATAGTTAATTTTGATATTACATGTTTCAAAAATTCCGTTTTAAATTAAGTGGCAACACAGAAAAAAAAATGTATGATTCATGTTTCTTTTTTATTTGATAATAAATTGTATTCAAAATTTTTTTTTAATATTTTGAAGAGAATATTAAAAATTTAAACTTAAAATTTGTATTTGGTTAGGTGGCAACTCCAAAAGTAACTAACTAATGAAGCGGCAACACAGTAAAAAAAAATTTTATGATTCATGTTTCTTTTTTTACTTGAAAATAAATTGTATTCAATTTTTTTTTTTAATATTTTGAAGAAAATATTAAAAAATTAAACTTCAAATTTGTATTTGGTTAGGTGGCAACTCCAAAAAAAAATTTTATATTGACCAACGCGCACACTTATTGTTAATATGCAGTCCGAAATTTTATTCAACGGCAATATTTATTTTATATTTTGTAAATTAATATATCTGGCAACAATGTTAATTTTTTTATGTTTTAAATTAATAACCTTTCATTCTCATGTTTTTTCTTCATTTTAAAACAAGAACGGCTTAAATGTTTTTTCTTAAAAAAAATATATATGTACGTATATACATATATGGCAACCCTGTTTCTAAGTAACCAACATTCTGGAAGTATTCAACAAAATATTATCCATATTTTCAAAAAAGTATAGAATTTTCGATTAGATTTGTAATGGTCAGCTGGCAACTCTAATTTTTTTATTGAGTTAATTAATAGAGTTGCCACGGTTTTTAAAAATGTTTAAGTAATTTCTATTAACGAACTTATGATGTTTTCTTTTTTTTTTTTCTAAGCTAAGTATGTGGAAATTCTGTTTTTAAGTAACCGACATCCTCGCAGTATTAAAAAAATAATTATCGATATTTTTAAAAAAATATTGAAATATTAAATTTTCGAATAAATTTAAAGTTAATCAGGAGGCAACTTCAAGATTTTTTTTGTATTGATCAACATTATTCGCAAATTGAGTTATCTAGCAACTCTGTTAATTTTTTTATGTATCAAATTAATAGCTTTTCATTTTAAAAACTTTTGACTCGTGTTTTTTTTTAATATAACAAGGAGTCGAAGAAATCTAATTAAATTTTATTGAAATTTACTGATGATCAAAATTGACTCGGATTGGTCCACCGAAAAATAGAAAATTCTTAGAAGGCACTGAGCCGATGCAACCGATGCTTATCACGTGTGTATTGAACATCGGAACAGACGTTTTATTAGCTCAGGAGCCTGAATCTTAAAGACAATAATTGTTGTTCTAAAATACTGGAGTTTTTTCATATTTTTGTCGATTTGCGAATCAAACTTGATCAGATGGTAGTATGTAAAAATACAATTTTGCCACGAAGTCAGAAGAAAATATAAACATTCCAAAATTATTAAAAACACCCGAACACTTATTTTATCTATTTTCGGTACTCAAATTTGACTTTCCGCAACCCCCATCACAAAAGAATGCCCCACACAGTCTACGTATACGTTGCATGCGTTGCAAACAGTCTTTGTAATCATCAACATTTTCTGAGCATTCAATGCTCAGCGTTGCTGCTCTGTCACTTTGCTGCTTTTGACAGCTGCCTTCTGCCAGTCGATGCACGTGTCATCAAGCCAAGTTGGCTGCAGCTTGGACTGGAGCAATGCAACGTGTTGCGAATGCAAGAACATTACAATTAGTCTGTCGAATGATCTTTTTATTCTGTTTTATATCACTGCCGTGCCCATTAAATGGCCCGCCCATTCTGCTGTCGCAATTGCAGCAAGCAAAAAGGAAAAATTATCGCTAGGGTATGGTCGGTAGGTCACTCGCATATATTCAGGCTGAAAGCTCTGCGGCCTACTCAGCAGCCGCCCAACCGGCTGTCTGCGCTGATGTCTGTTTGTCTGCCTCACATGTTTGGCTCCTTTGGCATGCAAATGGAACTGTCACTGGCATTATGCGGGCGGGAAAATTCGCCACTGAAATGCATACGTCCTTATATTTTATATAATGGAAGAGATGTCAGTATTTTGAAGCAATCATGAAGGATCAGTTGCAAATAAAATGAAATTTTTTAGAGATCAATCGACTAACCAGCCGTGAAATCATTTTTGAACACAACATTTTTATTATAAATTTGATTCGTTTTTATTTTTAATTGCCTTAAGAAGTTCTGTATTTATTTTCTCACATTCATGAAAGCAAATAACTTCATCAAACTACATATACGAAAAAAAAAAAAAATTTATGCTCATCGCGCAACTCTTCCTTGCATGCCATGCGCTTGTATCAACCCTTGCATGCTTTTTCATTGTCACTTCCTGCTGCTACACCTTTAATGGTGTTCTGAAACTCATCACAAATGTTGTCATCAACAGTTATGCAGTTAAGGGTGCAAGCGCAGCACCCAAGCAAAGGCATTTGTGTGGTGTGTTGCGGCGTATACGTAACCTCACACAAATTGACTTGTTTGCTCTGCCGTTATGGCGCAAAAGTGTTGTTCTTTTATTTCGTATTAAAGTTTCTTATTTGCACTTTCTGTTATCTCGTTGCTTCGTGCGCTCTGCGGTGACATCTTCCCTGCTTGCCACATTATTAATGGCGTGGAAAAGGTGTGCGATTTTTGTGATTTCTTTCGTGAGGAGCACGAATAATTATTTGTAATATTACGAGGTGCACATACCCGTAAAATATCTTAATTGCTAGCTCTGGGGGTGCTGTAATATAGTTGGAGCTGGGATTTTATGCACCCGCTTCTTGTGAGGTTCGTAAATAAATAATTTTCAAAAAATTTTTATTTTTTTAGTTAGTGAATTCTCAAGAGTTTAGGGGTTTAAATATATTAGTGTATTTTTTCCTGCTTTGGAGTTAGTATTTGGTTTAATATTTAAATATAATTAATAAATTGGTCTTCAGTTGCGTTTTCTAAGCTTAGATAATGTCTTACTTTACTTTGCTTACGAGGAGTATGAGAACTTGATATAACTGACAGATATGCTAGAAAAAAATATCTAACCTGTCTTTCAAGCCAATATTTTCTGCTTTTATCGTTTTTAATTTTTTCTGATAACACTCATTAATTTTTTTTTTAACCGAAATGCTGTATTTCGTACAGTAGCTTTTTTAATTATATATCGTCTGTATATATACAAAATAGTCACTCTGTAGTTTTTAAGTTATTGATTTGAAATTTTGCACACGTCCTTTTCTCTCCAAGAACCCACTTGTGGAAATCACCGATATTGGATAACTTTTGCATACAGCTGCCATATAAACTAAGCGATCGGAATAAACTGCTTGTATAGAAAACTTTGTTATTTGAGGAGATATCATTATGAAATTCGGTATGAATTATCATCTAAGGCTATGGCACAATCTCCGTAAAAATTATATAGCATGAACTCTTATAGCATATGTCTGCCGCACAAACTGATTCTTGGCTATAATTGTCAAGATATTTTCAAGAAGTTTGGTACAGAATTATATTCAAGGCAACTTTAAAAATTGCGAATATGCTGCAATGCATTTGTGTAGGCTACTTTGGCTACGGTGGAACGTTTCTCATTGGTTTTTTTTTTTTTAATTTAGAAAGTATTTCTCATAATACAAATAGTGAAAAACTTTAGTAAAATAAATGATGTGTTTCTTAAGAGCTAATATGTGTTTACGGATTTAAAAAAATTGATCTTTTTTTTGAAGTCAGTTGTCAATTTTTTTTTCTTCAATTTTTCTTGTAAAAATTTCTGAAAGAAAGCCAATTTTCAAACTTTGTTTCTTCGTCTAAGTTCTAAATTATGGTTTTAACTGAAACACGTATTTTTTCACTTTTAGATGATCCTGTAAAGAGTTATCGTGCCAACGCGGGTGCTTCTTCTTTTTTTTCAAGAGCTCACCGGAAAAGGCATCGCAATGGCCGAGTTTGAAATATTTTTTTGCACAAATTTCAGAATTTCTTTATTAATATGGTATGTTTGTTGCAATAAAAAATCAGTTAAAATATTCCATTTTTTATATGAGAAAAAAAATTTTTTTGAATAAATGCAATTTTTACTCGAGAAAAAGAAAACATCAAAAAAATTATATTATATTAAGATCTGTACTACAGAGCGAATACAAGACAAAAAAAAAAAAAAAACAAAAAATAAATAATTACGCTTCCTTTAGTTTCCAATATGTATCGGCCTATCTCAATGTAGTGTTCGCTTTAGTTACGCCAGTGGAGAATAGTGCAACACATTTTTTTTAGCTTAATTTAAATTTTTTGGGTTCTAAGAATATGGCTTGCTATACTTCTTTATCTTCGTAAATCTTCATATTAATTACGATTCCGGGAATCACCTTGGCCTATTGAGGCTCTTTAGGGAAGGTGGTTTCCAAAATTTGCTCAGCAGCGGCCATTTTGAATAAAAATTTTAATATCCTCTATTTTATATACCCAAAGAGAGAGATAAAAAGAAATTCCATACCTTTCCCTTAGTATAAGGATAAATTCAAAGCCATGCCTGAAATTAGTGCTCTAGAATGGCCTAACCTACTTTTGAATTGAAAATCAATTAATGTGAAATCCATACTATACATACTACCATACTATACATGTACATGTATTATATATATATAATTTCTTATTCTTTTTACATTTAAGTACAAACCTAATTTCAAATACAACTTATTTTAGTGTAAATTGCAACGAATAATCCGAAACAAATAATATCCGAACATCAAAAAGTAATTCTGTATGTATGTACGTGAGCTCATATAAAATTTCTGAGAAAAAATAGTTAATAACTTATATAACTGGACCCTGATACCTTGTATACTTTCTTAAATTTCTCTTCATTCGTATGTATGTATATAGTACTTACATTCATCGCAATTCTCACTGCCGGTGACAATGCATTTGCCCTTCTTGTTGCGCGTCCAATTTTCGCGACACGTCAAGCAAAATCCATTGCTGCTACATGTTGCACAACCGATGGGGCACGCAACGCATTCTTGACGTTTTTTGTCCGCATAGTAACCGTCCGGGCAATTGTTTAAACATTTGCCGTCGTAGGCAAAGCGACCCGAACGACACGTGATGCATTGCGATTCGGCGGAACCATTGCAAGTGGCACAAGATGAATGGCACGACGCGCAACTGAAATGAAAGAGTAAAAAGAAAAACAACAACAACAATTATAGCTTAAGGTAATAAGTGGCTTATACACAGGTATGTATGTGTGTGAAAGGAATATATTTACAAGCGGCAGATCGAAGACTCTATGAGATTTTTATGCAAAAATTTATTCCGGAAAATATTTTTGTATGCAAATGAGTAAGAGTGCAAATAATAAATGGTTTTTCGTAGATATGTATAACGAGAACAAGCCATATATAAATACATAAATACATATATGTATATACCCCATAAGATTGATACGAATGCTTGCTGACTTCTTGAGTTGTACATACAGATATATATATTTATGAGAGGTTGTGTGTGGACGAGAATCTGCCGCCAAGGGGAATAACTTTCGTTATCCTTTTAAATATATACCTGCACACAAATACATATTCTTTTTATTTAAATTCATATATATGTATATATTTGTTTGTAAAAGTGTTGAGTATGACTATATTTAATAGCTGCAGGTAAGCAAATATTTCACTGCAGCGCGAGTTGTAACATTTTATAAGAAAATCTGAATTTTCATTATATTTTTCTGGAAGTGGTGAAGAGTGGTGCACCACTTGTCGAAGTGTGAAATTTAATATTTTGCATATTTTTAAATTCCGCAGACAAGGTAATGCTGTCGTTTGCCGATGACAGCATGACGTTTTATGACTTCATATTGATAATAACATCTCTGTGCTCGTAGTGAGTTTGAGTTTCTGTGGTTCACATAGAGTTCGATGTGGTTAATACTTCTTCTAATATGTGCAGCTTGATATCAAAATCTCTTAATTTTATTTTCAAATAATATAAAATGACACACTTAGAGCACAGCAATACAAATTTGATGGAATAAATCGGACACTTATTGTACTTTTTACTCTTCTTATTTCTCAATAGCAAGAAAGGGTATCAAGTATAAAAAGTGGATAATAAATATATAAAAATATGATATATTACAGTATTACATGATATTGAGATCATCGATCTCAACACCCGCGTCGTTAGTTCTGCTTTCTCCAGACTGGACAAGGAAGCACAACAAATGGGTCTGGCAGTGAACGAGGGCAGGACGAAATATCTTCTGTCATCAAGCAAACAGTCGTCGCACCCGCGACTTGGCACTCACGTCACTGTTGACAGTGATAACTTTGAAGTCGTAGATAATTTCGTCTATCTTGGAACCAGCGTAAAAACCACCAACAATCCAACCCAGGATAACTCTTGCCAACAGGTACTTCGGACTGAGTAGGCAATTGAGAAGCAAAGTCACTCATAATTCCCGCCCTGCTATATGATGCAGAGGCTTGGACGATCTCAACAACAGATGAGTTGACGTTGCGAGTTTTCGAGAGAAAAGTTCTGCAAAAGATTTATGGACCTTTATTGGCCACGGCGAATATCGAAATCGATGGAACGATGATTTGTACGAGATATACGACGAAATTGATTTGATTTTTCAGCAAATTAAAAGACGGCAGCTGGCTAGGTCATGTTGTCCGAATGGACGAAAACACTCCAACTCTGAAAGTATTCGACGCAGTAACCGCCGAGGGAAGCAGAGAAAGAGGAAGACCTCCACTCCGTTGGAAGGACCAAGTGGAGAAGGACCTGGCTTCACTTGGAATATCTAACTGGCGCCACGTAGCGAAAAGAAGAAACGACTGGCGCGCTGTTGTTAACTCGGCTATAATCGCATAAGCGGTGTTTACGCCAATTAAGAAGAAGAAGATGACATTAGAGGACTATATGGGAGCCGATGTAAAAATTGAACAATGGGCGTGGCACTGCTCACTTTTTGGTGGAACCAAATATCTCGGTACCCGAAAGACCGATTTCAAATTAATGTAGAACGTGGCATTCTTTTCATTATCATATATCACAGTGGGGACTACAACCACGACTACTTCCCATATAACACAGTTTTAAATTATACTCGATTCTTTCACTTTCCAGTGCATAAATCAAAAATTTGTTAGTATAATGAAATAAAATTTTGAACTAATAACTCCTTTAAAATATGTCACCTTATAACCAGTAATTATTCAAATCAGACCAGTTAATGTATAGAACGTATAATTTTTAGTCAGAGAGAACTTGACAATAATAACCTTGTGCATAAAAAATGGGTTGAATCGGGTAATTACTTCCCTGAGATATATATCGGTCAATATTTATATTTTTTCTAAGATAGATTAATTATAGCGATATCTGTTGTTAATAGTATGCGATATTGGCCAAAGTAGATAAAATCGGATTAATAGTACCCCAACACCCATATACTGCATGACTTTTGTTTTTTTTTATCAATCCGGAAGGTATCTTACTGGCTTTGATTCCTTGCAATTTGCAAGAGTATAACATGTTCGGTTGCACCCGAACTTAGCCCTTCCTTACTTGTTTCATCTGTATTTAAAATCTATCGCTGCTTTATTTTTCGCCTTCAGATGCTAGCATATACATACATATTTACTCGCATGTATGCAAGTGTGTATGAACTTATTTGAAACTCCGAACAATGGATTTATGACTCATAGTCGCATGTGTAGTACAGCTGTATATGTTGCAGTGGAAATGTTACAACAGATGTACAAACTTAGTTTTTACAAGGAATTGCTAATGCAACACATATTACAACAGCAACAATGTACGCAAATATATATTGGAAAAACAAGGCAGGAAAAGAAAATTAAAAATATGAAATGCCAATCTCTTATATTTTTATCTAAATGTATGTTGGTAACTATATAAAAGCATAAACAAATCAGACGCAGAACAATGAGAATATTTTATTACTATTAATTTTTTTTTTAAGAGTGGCTCCATCAGTAATTTGAGAGACAATTAGTTTCACGCCACACTTTTAGTACAAATTTGTACAGCATATATATCTAAAGCCGGTTGAAAATGTGATGCCTCTGTACCCTTCAAGTTGTTCGTTATTGTTATGACACCCCTAATGTCTTATGTAAAAAAAAAAAAATAAAAGTTCTCATCTCCCGAAAAATTTCCTTCAGGGCATCTTATGCACTTAAAACCCGCACAATGCAAATGTAAAATATTTATACACGAACTCGACTATGTACATATAGTTGTGTGTATGTGTACATAACTACATGCCTGTGATGCAGCGGCTGGATATCTGATATTCAATTTTCAATTGGAAATAGATTGAATGCTTTTTATTCAATTCAATTTGTGTTGAATGCAATTCGTGTACGGAGGCAATAAGCGTTCACTGAACGGTGGCGTGGTCATATTGAGGTACTGGAGCTGAAAATGCTGGGTTTACAGTTGCATACATACACACATATCCAGTATACGGAAGTATGCATGACGGATAAATAAGTTAAAAATGCAACAGAAAAATATAGGACCGTAGAGGTAGTGAAAAATGTGGCTGGTTATAGCCGTAGGCATTAGCAGTGAGTGACTTCAATGCGCCTTCATGTATGTGTTTATATATGACTGCGCTTGAAGTGGACAGCACGAAAGTAAAAAAAAAACAAAAACAGGAGTGGGGGACCAGATCAGCATACTTAGGAGGTGGACTTTTCTAAGAGACTTTGACTTTATTTCACTGTTTCATTAGCGAAGCATGTTTATATGCTCGTTTTTGTTAAGCTTGTGCACAAATATAAAGTTTTTTTTATACACCTACGGAGATTTTAGAAAATTTGACCAAATTTTTGTTTTTTCAAAGAAACTACCGAAATAATATATACGCTGTTATTTACTTCTAACTACATTAGTTAATAATGCCTAATCAAAGAATTTTCTTCTATTCACGTATTGCCGCAAGACTTGCAAACAGAATTATAGTGGGTGAGAAGACGAGAGTAAAAAGCTATCAAACTATAATTGCTTAGATGCAATGAAGCACCAGTAAAACAGTTGCCAAATATATATTGAACTACAAGCTTTGCTAAATCTAGCGTCTACTAGTAGATATGCTCTGGACAGCTCTTGGTGGTCGTGTTTGTTTGCTGATGTCTATCAAATTTTGTCAGTGTGTTCACTAAGGTCTGTCATTTCATCATGCCACTTACACTTTGATATAACGCTTGGAGATAGCCCAACAATTTTACGGAAATTCAGATTCTCCGGTGGCTACGTTAATAAAAGCTCTTAGCACAAGTCTGGTCTTCTCAGAAGGAGCTCTTTTCTGGTTTAATGTATTCGTCAACAAACAAAATTTTCGCTATTTGTATCACAAAACTTGAACATTTGGTGGCGCTATCCCCGGATCTTATTTCATTTAAAATGAGTCAAAAATACCAACAATATCTTTGGACCTCTAGTTTATTTTCTCTGGCGTATACAATTTGACCGAATTTCTGTGTTTTATTTAATTTCAACATCACGTCGTTCTTGTTACTAGAACCCTTATATTCAATTAAATACTTAAAAGGACATTAACGCAATGTCGGCAGCTGAGCATACAAAGAGAAGTATGAATTTCCTAAATATGCTCATTACATTAATAGAATTTGACAAATTTAGTATATTAATCACCGAAAAACATGAACAGAGTAAGAACTGTGGAAGCCGATGGATTTTCTGCAGGAATATACGAATGCAACAGTGAGGATGCTTTAGTTCCTAAAAAACGTACTTTTTATTTTATGAATTTTTTTCGCAGGCATTGGTGATTATACACAATCGGAAGCAACATGCAAAGGGTCATTCCAATGGTTCAGAGAAAATGATTTTGATGTGAGAAATGAAGAGCGTCGAAGACCACCAGAAAACTTTGAAGACGCCAAACTGCAAGCAATATTGCATGAAGATGATACTTTCAGTCAAAACAAATGACATCTGGCATACATATGTTCTACAACAAACAATTTCCGACCATTTGAAAGCTTTGAGAATGATCCATAAGTGTGAAAAATGGGTGCCATATTAATTGAGTGAAAGAAACCGAAACAACACTTGGGAAACTTTGCTTCAAAGACACGAAAGAAAATCAGCTTAGCATCGAA